TAAACTTTAAATACGGATATAATTTCTATTAAATATTATTCTGTCAATTGCATTTGTTTTACATGAAAAATGAATTGTCAACAAAGAATTGGAGTAATTTATATTATGTCAACTTCATATAACGTTTCATCGTTGTGTGAAGCAATTGACAAATATATTTTATGAACAAATATTAAGCAATGCTTTTTAAAGTAAGCCCATCGATCATTAATTTTATTCTTATTTATATATCACCTGTTCTGAAAGTGATTTGTAAGAAAACAAAAACTTTGAAAGCTATTAATTTAATTTTTCTGATATGTAAAAATGCACCGATGTCTTTTTATCGGTAATACTTAAACACTGAGAGTCGCAATATTTTGGTAATATTTCAACTCTGAGTATGATCAAAGCAACCAAATTATGGTAAAATTTATAGTTTTTCTGGCTCTATGGGAACACTAAGAGCTCGGTAATTTTTACTAAAGCGCCTTGGTAAAGATTTTGGAAAAATTAACACTGGAATGACTGAAACTTAGTATATACTTATATTGCCCAAAAGCAGTCAAAATGACTCAATTGTAAAAGAATAAATAATGCATAAAGAAATTTGTTTACAATTAATTTTTAATATTTTTTATGTTATTTACAGTTATATAACAAGTTATTAGTAAATATTGACAGTAAAAAAATTATATGTTGTACAAAAAGTCATAAAATTGTAAGAAATTGTGTCATTATATACATCATTGTTTTTCTAATTGAAATTAAACGCAGTCAAAAGGACTTCCTTAGGCAATCTAGTGTTAAAAATAAAATATGGTTTTATAATCTGTGATAAAATTTGATAAATGTGGAAAAATTTGGTAATATTTGACCATACTAATACTTGTCCATATAAGACCATACTAAACTTGAAAATAACCACTCGCTTCTCGTCAGGTGGCGCATCAACAAAACAAAGTGGCTACTTAAATTTAAGTAAACAACCGGTTAATTTTTACCCACTTTTTTTCATTTTTTTTATTTTAAAAATCTTTTAATGATATCACACATTTATCACACATTATGTATGATCATTTTAAATGGTACGGGAAAACACTTTGTTTCCCTAAAGGTAAAAAAAACTCCATTCTTTATCGCTCACAATGCTAGAAAAAACGTTTTTAAACATAACGATACGACTAGTTTAAAATATCGAACAATATGTAAATAAATTCATTTTAATATTGTCTTTTAAGAGAAATCGTGTAATCATTCTGTTTTTATAATAGATGTATTTATATGTTTATGTTCTCTTTAAGATCCATGTAAAAAATTTCAAATTTTACACAACTCTTATAGCCTCAAACAATTTAGATAAAATTTATTTTATTCAAAAATATTATTGCAGAGATAGAGAAATAAATCAGTTATTGAGCGGACTATTTCTTATGCTGAGCACTTTTATAATTGTTTCGTAATCTTTTATTTTGGAGTATAGGTAATAGTTTATTCTATGTAGAGCACAATTTGACTAAAACAGATTATGTTTGCTCTACAAAAATTTTTTTTCAGAAAGAAGTGTCGACAAATTTTCTATGGAATATAAAGCATTTCACCTTTAAGCATGGATTGCACTCAGATACTTCTCTATTTCTTAAATAATCTGTAATTTATAATACAAATAATAATTTAAGCAAAATTTTAAATTTTATTTTGAAGCTTATATAAATGTAAGAGGAGAGATTGTCGATAAATTCGGTAGATCCGAAGAAACTGAAAAGGTAAGGTATTATTTGATTAAAACTTCATTCGCTTGAAAAATATATAAATAGGAAATAACAATCGACTTGTTTCAATGGCTCAAAAACAGGCGCCCATTTTCAAGACTTGCTGAAGTGAATGAGAAGAATATTAAACTATTTTCAATATTCTTCGTATTCTTTATGCTATAAATATTTTCAAACAGTGATAACTTTTGCTGAATGTTGTGTTTAAACAAAGAAAAAGTTATGATCTTGTGAGGATATGGCTAATAGCCACTGCGTTTTTTTTATTCCAAAAAGTATTGTGTATTCCAAAGTCTGCGACTTTAAGATACATTGAGTTTTCAGAGTTATTTCGAAAGCAGAAAATGATTTCTCAACCTCGCTAGTTCCGGTTTTGTTCTAGAAAAAAAAGTACTTTGATGCAACGAGAAGTGTAAAAGCATAATAAAGAGCCTATTTTGTTTTCCTATAATAAGCTATAAAATTAGAGAATAAATTAGTATTTGTGGTTTTTGGTTAATTAAAATAATTTCTGCTTTAAGATTGATGATTAAAGAATATTGATATGTTTTTGATTATCGTTCTATTTTTTAAAGTCTACTTAAGTCCATATTTTAGAAGTCTTCGTTCTTCTATTTTCAAATACTTATTGGGTGTTTATTTTCGATGGCTAAGTCAATCATCACATTTTTTTTTAAAGTTTTCTCTTAATTTTTATAATAAGCAACCCAATCAACAATATTTTTAGGGTTTTTGTTTTATCATTTATATTGATTGATTTCACCGTCTTGGAGGACTTTTTAATGGAGCTAATCCACATTTGTGTTACATAAAGAAGAAAACTACGAAGGTTTCGCACTATTAGCCTGACGGCAAGGGAACTCTAACCCATGATCCGTTTACCACTGAGGATATTTCACGTCAGCACTGTGGTCGGTGCAAGCAGGGTGCGGATTCATATCGACAAGCCATCGCTGGGATCGAACCCGGTTGACCTCATTGGAAAGCGAACGCTCTATCCCTTAGCCATCGCGGCTTAATACATACTAACAAGAAACAGTTAAAATACTTATGATAGAAGCAATTAAAATAATTAAAAAGAAAAAAACGAAATTCTAAAATTTCAGGTCTTAACATTACCTCTTAAAATGAGTAAAGTTGGCGCACAATGCTTTCAGAAATAAAATTTAAAAATTAAGTATGCAATGAATATTCGATTTTCGACTCAAAGCTGAATAAAAAAACCACCGAATAGTTCAGCCGAAGAATAGCATTATTATCGTATCAATTGATATAGTTTAAAATACAGAGCGATTCCATTATAAAGGTCACCGGGGGACAAAACTGTGACATATTCACGTCTCAACAGGGTCATGGTGTGACATAATGACGTCTCAACAGGATCACCGAGTGACTAAGTTGAGACGTGAATGTGTCACATTTCGCTACTCGGTGACATCACTGTAACAATTAAATGCAGTGTGGTCCCACTTTAACGTCTCATTTTGACATCAGTGTGACGTCGAAATGAGACGATACCAAAGGTGGACATTGTAACCGTTTTTGACCTATGCGTCCACGGAGCAGAAGTCACACGTGACTTCCCAAATTAGTCCTGTGACTGTCGAAATCTTGTTGCTATCTGGTAACGGTGCACTCTGGGAAAAATAGTTGAAATTGCTGTAATGATATTTTCTAAAGTTCTTTTCTGATTCAATTTCTAATCGATTTTTTTATTATTAAATATGAATATGAGTTAATGATACTCTTTTTTAATAGTATGCGCAAAAGTTTTTGTATGCATTCTATTTTAAAAGGTATTTAGTACTTGCCAAATAAAATTTGATACATGAATAAGCAGTTAATGAAAACTTTTATTTTTTTCATTAAAACTTTTATTTTATTCATAAAAACTTTTTTTCATATATTCAAGTGTGACAAGTGAATGTTCTAGTGAAAAAATTCTTTTCTATTTTAGTTCTTTTACTATTTTAAATCGTCTTTAATATTATTTATTAAAATCTTCGTTAAAATATTACAAAATGCCATTCCAGCGTCAAGTAAGAAGTAAATTTTGAAGTAAAAGTACGAAAGAAGAAAGCCAAAGTATTTCTATAATCTTAAAAACACATTTAAAAACAACGGAAAAAAAATCATATATCTATCGCATTTGCACAAAAAAAAAATAATTTTTATATTTATGAAAAATCACAAAACCTTAACTAAATAATAAAATAAATTAAGACGGAAAACCTTAATCATTTCTATAAAATTAAACAAAATTTGTCAAAGTGCAACAACTAATCCATATAGTGGATTTACAAAGCTTATTGTCTAGCTCTATAGTCTAGTAAATTTTAGTTCAACCCAAGAAATTAATTCCAACCCGTCTTACTGGCTTCTTAAAATGCATGCAAAATTTTATTTTAATTATAAATAATTTAGAAATACACAAATTAAGACGGAAGACCTTAATAATTTCTTTAAAATTAAACAAAATTTGTCAAACTGCAACAACTAATCCACATAGTGGATTTACGACGCCTATTGTCGCGCTCCATAGTCTAGTAAATTTTAATCCAACCTAAAAAATTAAATCCAACCCGTCTTACTGGCTTCTAAAAATGTATGCAAAATTTTATTTTAATTCAAAATAATATAGAATATACGCATATAATTAGTAATTCTTTGCAAGTTTTTGGACTTTTTTTAAAACAATAAATGAAAAAATGCAACGAATAATAAGATTTTATTTTTTTATTTTAAATTCATTATAAACTTAATTATCAAAATTATTGAAAGACAAATATTTTTGGAAAACTGTTATTTGCAAAGCAACGTTTTTGTAAAACGTTCTATTTCTTACATTATTTTTATATTTCAAAAATGCATCGAATTTAATTTCCAAATAAATTTTTTCTGCATTTCCTAAAAATTACTGTAGCAAAAAACAACTTAGGAAAAAATGCAACATAATATTTTATTTACGAAAACAATAACATTTCCCACTGTTTGTTAGCAATTTCTTCTTACTCGCCATATCTATGTCATCGTTTTTGAAACCAGGAGAAAACAAATCGCCAAAATGAGTTCTCGTATAAAAAATAATTTATTTTTTATTTTTTTCCTCTGAGAAGCAACGTGAGAAAATGGCCCTTGTTGGTCAAATTGCCGACATTGATGGGAAAAGGTAAACTTCCGTTACGGTCGGACGCAGTAATGTAACACCTCTTCTCTTCAAAAAGGAAGTAATTTATTTTTGGGTGGCTGTCCATGAAATTTGACCAAAGTGTATATAAGTGATAGCGAAAGTTCCAATTTCAAATTAAAATCACAATAGGTTTTCTTGTAGACACAGGGATAGTCAATATAAAAGGTATATATTGGTTGTTGGATATATTTTATGTCTGTCTATTTGTATACTTGTCTAAAGGATTACACAAGTTGTGAAGGTATTAGTAAATTTATATGTTTCTTAATCATTTGAAAAATTTACATTAATTGCTTTTTTTAAAAAGTTAAAAAAATTATTTTTTTTGTAATACACTAAATAAGTTTACATAACTTTATAACCGATTTAAATTTTGACCGCATTTTTAATTAAATTCCGTTAATGTTTACAACATAGCAGGTACACTGAGAAAAAAGTTTGGTCAAAAATATCAGAATCTGGTAAAATTTAGCATGTTTACTGGATCTATGAGAGTACTAAATAAACACGATGATTTTACTGAAGCACTTTAAAAATAAATTTGGTAAAATTAACAATGATATATATCACTGGTTCAAAACTAAAACGACGCTTCTGCACTCACTTCTCATGTTATTTCAATGAGAAGTGAATGCAGAAGTGTCGTTTTAGTTTTGAACCAGCGATATGGTTTTAAAATATGAAATAAAATTTCGTAAATGTGGTAAAATTTAGTAATTTTATCATGATACCTTTGAGCATGGCAGAAAAAACCATTTATTCGCTTAAATTTACTTTTCAGTTTTGTATTTTTTATTAAATATGTGATAATATGAACCATATTTTTGAAAACCAGAAAGTTTGTTTAATTTTTAATTTATTTTTTATAGATTTATTTTTATTTATTGCTTTATTTAATTCCTTTTCAATTATTTATTCTATAATATTATTCGAAGATGCCATCAAAAACAACTAGTTTGCAGTTTTTAGTTATTCGAATCTGATAATATCCTTTCATTCATATTTTCTTAAATATTAAAAAAAAGCATTAGTTTTGATAGGGATCTTGTTTTTCTATAAATTTTAAATAATATATTTATACGAGAAAGAGTTGAGAAAATCTCGACTGGATGAACTTCTCGAACTTTCGACTTTTTCGAGAGTTTCAAAATTCTAAACTATAATTTAAAATAACGGATAAAACTTCAATCTTGGCAAGCTGCTGATTAACTTTTTATTTATATTTCACTTATTCGAAAGATGACAGTTTTCTGCTGTCGGTATGGATTTTGAAAATGTTTTTGAAAAAATGCTCTGGACAACATTACAAGCATTATTTATGTCACAAAAATCTGTAAATCTTAAATTCAAAAAAGTGAAAATGTGCGGTTGTAGTTCAAAATTACTTCAAATTGTGGTTCCATTTTTTTTTAAAAATGATAATCGATTTTAGTTTAAGATTGATTTGAATTTTTCATAGTCTAAATTGAGTAAAGAATATGTTATTAAAATTCATATTTCATAAATTGATAAGCATAAAAAAGTGTGTATTCAGGGAAGTTTAATCTATTTAGTTCTTGTATGATACAATGGAAAAAAAATTATTTTATTACTAATTTAATAAAACTATTTTATAATACGTGTTATTGGTTGAATTCAACTGAAGTGATGGAATGCTCAAACTCGAATATGTCCCAGATTCGAGTACTGGAAATGACTAGACACAGTACACACAGTACTGAGGAAAAATATCCCCTAAAAGGTAGTCCAATCGGTCAGACTAATCTAAGAAGCCTTTCATGGTTTTTCTCACCATTTAATGTGAATATAGTTTAATTCAAAAGATCATTCTTGTAGATAAGTGCATATCCATATTTGATCCAGATTGTCCCTTGTATTCTGGGTTAGGTTCATGGTTACGAGTTGATACAACGCTATAGATCGCCTGTTTAACGTCGGTTATGAAACAAAATTAAACAATGCATGAGCCGTATAATGCGATTTATGAAATTCCCTAAAAAAATCCTGTTCAAATTACGGTATAAAGTACAGGCACAATCCATCCATAAAATTAATATTACTGTAAAATCCAATTTTATCGTATCGTATCGAATTATTATTTAATTAGAATAATTATTTAATTAGAATAATTATTTAATTAGAGTAAATAATTATCATTTAGAGAGGCAGTGATCATACTGTATTATTGCTGAAAAAGGTGTTGTATATCAGACTTTTTGTCTAAGCGTTTTTAGATGTTTTTCAACACATTTTGCTTATATGTCTAACATGCTTTTACTTAACTTGAGCAGAAATTTTTTACAATGTACTTCCATGGATTTGAATTGGATTAATAAGTTTGCTGGCAGCCAAGATGGTCATAACGTAGCGCAATTTTAATATTGCGATATACGATACTTTCACGATACTTTTTTATTTATTACCACTTGAAGAATTGGTATTATGCCAGGCTCAGGTAACTCGCTAATATTATCTTTAAACTGTGAGTTAATTAAAAAACAATATGTATTGTCACTCAACTTAATATTTTTGGATGTGGATGATTTTTGTGATATTACCATATAACGTGTTTATTGTTGTCAATAATAATCTTGTTATTACCATAATTAATTATCATTTTAAATAGCTACTTATTATAACATATTTTTCGTAAATATTGTATTGCTTCACAACAGCGTTATCATAATGCTTAATATCTATATTTCCTGTGCTTAATATCTATATCTATATTTCAATATATCACTTAGATTAAGTGGTAATTAACATTATCAATAGCATGTGGTAAATATCATGAAAGAGTGGTAGGCAATACATTATAAAAAAAAAGGTATGTTTTGCTTTTAAAAAAATTTCAGCTTTTTGAGTTAATAATTAATTTGTTTAAACTAATATTTTGGTTTATTAAAAAAATAACAATTTTTTTTCTTAAATCATATGATAATGTAGCTTTGCGACACAATCAATCTGTTTATAAATTTCTTTTTTGTTGATGCATTATAGTACGGAAACGTACGTTAGCATGATCTTCCATTACATGTTTTTCAGTATTAAGCAAATGCATGGTTAAACTAAAATCTATATAGAGACTTGACAAATAGGATGAATTAGATGATTTAATGTATCAATTTCTTCAGGAAAATTTCGCTTTGAAGTATTATGCAATCTCAAAAAACACTTTTAGTTTCGTAATGAAAAAATTACTTTCTTTTACAAGATTCTTAGCTCCAGTAATACGCTTGATTGAAAAAAGCCCACTAATTATAAAAATGCAATCTGATAAAAAAAAAACTGATTTTTATTTTCATCTTAAAACTATTAGTACCAAATAAATACGACATTTTGCACTTAAACAAGTGATTTCTTTGGCGTTTAAACCGGAAACTCTTAGATGTATTTTATCGTACATTTAAAGATACATAAATTTTCAGTTTGTTTATTTGCTGCTGAAACCGGTACCATCCGATTCGATAAAGCAACTCTTCGTACAAATGTCTTCTTAAATAATTCAAAACGAAACTAAAAAAAGAGATCGAAATTAAAGAAATTGTAAATGAGGCCATTTTTAGTGCTGTATTGAATATTTAAAATTGTTTAATTTTCCAAGACTGTCTGCTCTGTTATATGGCTGAATAAAATAAATAAGCTAAATATAAAAATGTACTGCTATTAAACTGACTAAATCTACTGCTACTAAATGAATTCTGCATTTTGTTTGTGAATAATTGATTATGTATTTCATGATGTCTTTGCTGTTTGAACCGGGGACTCTTAGATCTGTTTCATCGTACTTTTATACTTTCGAAAATGTAGCATTAATGCTGATTTACTAGATAACAGGAACGAATCCAGCGTGAAAAGATTTAAAAAAAAAACTTTTTCACAAATTGTTTCCTAAATAATCCAAAGCGAAATTTAAAAAAAGAGAGCAAAATTACAGAACTTGTGAAAATTACAAAAAGTTAGACCATTTTTTTATGCGTTGCATTAGCCTTGATTAAATGACACTTTTTAAACTAACGGTTCGATAAAGAGTAAATTATATAACTCTATTTTTGAATCGTTTTGAAATGTCTGGCATAATTTTATAATTATTTACTACGGTCGAAATTACTTTTTTTTTGGGGGGGGGGATAAATGTCTAAAAGATTTAAACTTTCCCTTTGGGTTATTATATATTTTACTAATATGATTGCTGGTTAAAAAATGTTGTGTACAGTAGTTTGTAAATTGCTTGTAATTTGAATTACATTCCTTATAAAAGTACTGTTATACCTATTCTTCGATTTTCTGTATCTGACTTAGCTAAAGAGTTTCAACAAACAGCGTCAAAATTGTTAAAGATATTGAGTTAACACACTTGGCGTAATTTCTCTAAAATCTCGCTTTCTAAGCAGTGTTTTTCGAACAATTTTACCAAGCAAACTAAAAAATGCCACAGTTTAAGATATAAATTCAAAATAAAGCTATAAGATTTAACTATAAACACAATTTTGCAGTAAAGAATTATGAAAGCTTTAGAAGGGCTTAATTATTAAATATTTTTCAAAAATTATTCTTCTCAAAACTTCTCAAAAACATCTCAAAACTTCGTCAGTTTGACAAGAGTCTTTTACCTAAATGAAAAACGTTGAAAACAATAAAAAATTTCAGTTTTTGCAAATTTTTATGAGGCCGAATAATGCAGAGACCTTTGACTGATTCCATACAATTTTGCATCAAAGAATTATGAGAGCTTCAGAATGGACGAATAGCTATATTTTTAAAAAGTAATAAACTTTTTAAAACTCTGTTAGTTTGACAAGAGTTTTCTACCTAGATGAAAAACGTTAAAACAATTACTTATTTTAATTTTTGCAAATTTTTATTAGGCCAAATAATGCAGATTTGGAGAGAGCTTTGACTGATTACATACAAACAAATGCATACAAATTTAAAATCCTATTCTCTATTTGCTGCATTCAACGTAATATCTGCAGAATAAGAAAGAAAATTATACAGATAATGTTTAAAACTTTCATATAATAAAGTTAATAAAAATCTTTCCATTTATCAAAAATAAAATAAATAAATAAAAAACTCAGAAAAATTTTACTTATGAGTTCGATAACTTCTTATTATTGCTTATACATATATTTGCATGTAGAAACTTCATTCATCAAAAATCCGTGACATGATTTTCGTCTAAACAATGTAAAAATATGATGTATGCAAATAAATAATTAAATACATTTTAAAAAATCCATTAAAAAGCTAAACTAGTAGGTTCACTTGATTCAATAGATTAAAATGTTAAATTTATTGCATTCAATTGTTTGTCAATTTTAATTCAATTCAATTGCTTGTTAAATTTTAAATTTATTGGATTCCTTTGAAAAGTTTTGCTGTATTTACATTAATTTTTTGCAGATGTGGCTCAACGTCAAGGCCTGCATCCTCATTTTTATGATATCTGCAATGTGTATTGCAGCGGATCCTGAACCGGAAACAGAAGCAGACATTGAACCAAGGTGATGAAATTTTGCTAACACCTATATATAAATCACTTTTTCATAAAAGTGTTATAAAAGCAATGGTATAAAAATATTTTTACTCGCAGCTTATTGAACGTAAGTGATTGAATATAAATTGTTTGGAATATTTTGGCAGAATTTAAACAGAATAAACTAACTTGTGAAGTCACGTGAATGACTTATTTGTCAAATCAATTAATTTCATTAAAAGAAGATAAGTAACAATCTGAATGAAAAAGTAAATACTACTGAAATAAATTATTTACTATACACAATTTATAGAAAGCTTTGTTATTTTGTGGCGTTAGTACTAATTTACTGGAGAATTTTGCTTTTGAAAATACGCACAAATGAAATGCTTTGAAATTAAAATAAAGAATTAGAAATGGAGTTAATTGATTTAAGAAATTAATTAAAAAAATTTAAGTCATTTTTCGCTTAGTAATTTCTAGCCAATATTTAAGATATTGTTATCATTAATTTTCTTTTCAACTTTCAAAAACTTTAATAACTTTAAAAATCTTGAAATAATTGTTAACTATGCAATTTTAATGAAATTACGAGAATATATTTATTTTGAAACTACACTGAAAACAGTATTTTTGTGTAATTCTTTCATTTGTAAAGGGGGGAAAAGAACATCCATGGAGTTTGTCTTGGCAATCTTCCTTCACGGTTATTCGTGTGTTAGATCTCCTTTCGGTCTCATGTGTTTTATCCTTTTGGGAGGCAAAATTATTCTTGTATTTAGAACCTTTGATAGCATCAGCTTTATGTCCTTTTTTATCAGCTTTAGCTTTCCTTTCCTAATTAGTTCTTTGATTTACTTCCTTAGTTCAGTAGCGTTTTTTGTGCAGTCTTTTTCATTTAAATTGAATTACAAGAATGGCGATTTTGCATAAAAATTTCAATTTAATTTGAATTTTAATACTATAAAGAGCTTATTTTCTATTACAACTTGTTTGGTTTTATGTAAAAATAAGAAGTATATATTATGTTAGAGATTATGAAACATGTTGAATAATAATAGCGTTCCAATTCTTTGAAACCTAAATACCTTTCTTAGCTAAACTTCAATGTATAATCGCATATAGGGTTAAGATGAATTTCATTGTAGTTAATCCTACTTCTTAAAATGATTACATGATACTATGGTTCAACTTCAGAAACAGGGTCAAGTTAGTCTATAGAGACATTATCAAATTTGTATCATATTATGGTTCAACGTTAGATTGAGGATTTCTTCTGAAAGTTCCAACTAATTCAACCAATAATTCTCTGTAATAATTAAACTTGATGGTTCAAGGTACCAATATTATGGTTCTACGCTGTACTGATTTTTATTATAACTAATATTTCCTCTTAATTCCATCATTAATTTCTCTAATTATTAATTTCAGTAATTCAAGGTACCGATAATATCGATTATAATTCAAATCATTATATTCATTAATTATTTTTTTTATTAATTGAATTCGGTGGCTCAAGGGACTGATTACTTATGATTCCAGGTACCTATATTTTTCTCCAACTTTGAATCAATTCTTTCAAAAGGAACTTCTAACTAATTTAACCAATAACTGTTTTAAAGAATGAATTAGGCCTCGATTCATTATTTTTTTAAGGTACAGATATTTTGGTTCAATGTTGGGTAGATTTTCTTGAAAATGAACTTACCAACTAATATAACCATTAATTATTTTTAATAATTAGTTTCAAGTTCAAATTGTTAGTTCAAATTGGTTTCAAGGTACCAATATTAGGGTTAGACGCTATACCGATTTTCATGAAAGGGTACGTCCATTCAATTCTTCCATTAATTTATTAATGATTAAATTAGGTAATTTAAGGTACTTATGGTTCAATATTCTATAAATATTTTTCGAAAATGAATTTTCACCTAATTCATTTATTATTTTCTTTCTTGTTTGGTTGGTCCTTCTTCTTATTTAATTTACATGTAAATAGCTTTCATAGTAAACATCTTTAAATGGCATTCCTTTTTATTTTTATTTGAAATAAATGTAAAAGAATTCCTTCATTATCCATTTTCATGTTTTGTTGTTGTTTCTTCTCCTTACTTAGTTCTCATATAAAAAGCATATGGCATCCTTAAATAGTATTCCTTTTTATTTTTATTTGAAAGAAATGTTAAGAATAAGACTGTTATTGATTTCTTATTACATTATCTTTTAAGATATATGCTATTTATCTGCTTATCAGGAAAAAATTTATGTTTTAAAAAAAAAAAAATTGAAATACTGTTTAGAAAATAGAAACAATTTGGGTTTTCCTCATATTTTTATTAAACTGAAATTGCCATTTTGCCGCAATTCAATGGAGGCAGTACGGGAAAAAATGTCTTCTTTCGTTGTATTTTATAAAAGCATTTTTACTATTTAAAATAATCGAATTCATAACAGATTTTGTTGCTGAATTTTTTCATAAAACAAAGTATTATATTAGTAAAACACTGAAAACATCAGAAATGCAAATATTTTATTTTACGAAATTTCTACCTATTAAATTTCAGTTTTACTTTGTAGTTTTACATATAAAAATTTTTCATAAAGACGTAATGATATAAAATCTATGCTTGTTATTTTAATATCAGAACTGTTTTTTTTTACTAAAAATATTCGGTATATTTTCAAATGTATAAACAAATCTCTATAACAAGCAATAGACTCAAACCTCAAAGATTCTGAATATTTGCAAACGTTCTTTCCGTCAAGGGACACTCGAATAAGTTTAAAATCTGACTGAATCGATTCCATTTATTGCTTTATAAAATATTCAAGAGGATGTAGTTTAATTCTTTGAGCGATTTAAAAAGGCCTACAAGACATATAAAGAGGCATCAAGTATTTTTCAGAAGTTTATATGAATCTAATGCAATAAAACGAGCTTTAAAGTATCTAGTTTGAAAGATGAAATGCAAAATTTTTCAAGATAATTTATATTTCAAAATTCCCTTTGAGATTAAAAAAGTAATTTAAGGAGAAACACAACTATCTTTTTCTTATTAATTACTAAGCAGAATTTTTCTGTGTTGCACATACTAATTTAAAGTGTTTACAGTTGTTTTACATTATTCTGAACTCCTGCATTTAAAATAGTAAATGAATAAATAAATTGTGTGAAACTAAAAGCTCATATGCTCATGGTTAATAGCGTAAGACATTTCTACACTTCTGTGGCATAATATGCCATAACATGGGCATATATAGCATAACTCAATATTTAAGCAAATATAACTTATTGTGTCTTTTTATTTCTATTAACGAAAAATTCGCATTTATTGTTTGTTTAGGCATGAGAAAAAGCAAGTAATCTTGTTCAAGGATCAGACGGAACATTTCCATCATCATCATCACCACCACCATCATCACCACAAGCACGGTCATGATCATAAGCACGCTCATGGTCATAAACACGCTCACGGTCACAAACACGAACATGGTCATAAGCACGGTCATGTTCACAAACATGAACACGGTCATAAGCATGGTCATCTTCATAAGCATGCTCATGGGCACAAACATGAGCATGGCCATAAACATGGGCACCTTCATAAACATGCTCATGCTCATAAGCACGGACACGGTCACAAACATATACATGGACACAAACATGGACATGCGCATAAACACGGGCATGCTCATAAGCATGGGCACTGGCATAAACATGGCCACGAACATAAACATGGACATGTTCACAAGCATGAACACGGACACAAGCATGGTCATGCTCATGGGCATGTGCATAAACATGGCCACGGACATGTTCATGAACACGGGCACAAACACGGCCATCTTCACAAGCATGGTCATGGACATGCTCACGAGCATGGTCATAAACATGCTCACGGCCATAAACACGGTCACGAACATAAGCATGGTCATGTACATGGCCACAAGCATGGCCACGCACACAAGCATGGACATGAACATGGGCATAAACATGGTCACGGACACAAGCACGCTCATGCTCATGGTCATAAACATATTCATGGCCACAAGCATGGACATGGACATAAACACGGGCACGGACATGCTCATGCCCATAAACATGGGCATGGTCACGAGCATTTGCACGGTCATAAACACGGTCACGCACATAAACATGGACATGGTCACAAGCACGAACACGGTCACGGACACAAACATGGCCATCACCATGGACATAAATGGTTCGGCTACATTACTGGCTTAAAAGGTCATCCACATACCATTGCAGAAGAAAAAGAATTCTCCCATGATGAACAAAATGAATATTCTCCCGAAGTTTTAGAAGTTGAACCTGAAATTCTCTATGATGACGCTTCTGAGGGAGTTAAAACTGAAGCTGGTGACGAAGTTGAACCTGAACATACTTTAGACTCTAAGTTGAAATACGATCTTCTGCCAGCTGAAGGCAAAGCTGTAACCGTTGAATACCGACATTTTGGTAAATCTAGTCCTAACTCTTCAAATGAAATCAAAAATGTAATTATACATTAAATTTAGTGGGAGTCTGTATTTTGAAAATCTCACGCAAAAAATCCATCTCATAATGAGATACATGTATATTAAAAGTCTGTTCATTTAAAAAAAAAAAACTAAAACGCACATACTTGGTGATGGATAGCAGAAAAGGGAAGCTTTTATTTAGGTAGCAGGTCGTTATTTTAGATTCTATATTTATAGCCATCCAATTGTTATATAATTTATTTTTTGTCTATTTGCATTTATACTTAGTAAATTGTTTTATGTACAAGCCATATATGTATATTGTTATGAAAAATAAATATTTATATTTTGCAATTAAGGCATATTTTAGTTTAATTTAATTTAATTTATTTTCAATGTCACAAACAAGGATGGACAAAACAATATGAATGATTTGTGTCGATTTTATAGGTCTATGCATACTATGGACAAAATGGTTTTATATGTTTTATAGGTCCAAACTTTTAACGCATTTAAATGATTAAGATAACAGCTTTACAATTATGAGGACATATGTATCCGTAAAAATATATACTACTAAAACGTAGGGAAAGTCGATTAAGGCTTGGGTTTTTTTTCTCCAGTTATTTCATAAATAATAGCTTTGCAAAATTCATATTTTGATGTCAATAGGCATTTTTACAATGGATGATGTCCCAAGAAACATTTCGTAATTAAAGAGCTAATTCTTGAATGAAACAAATAGTTATGTGGTTTCTTTTGTACAAAAAATACCAAGTCTTAAATGATCTTCGGATTATTGTAGTTGATTCAAGTTTTGTAAGGATTCAGTTGTAATTTGAAAGTTTCGTTGATTACTATTTTAAGTAGGATTCTTTTCGGGTATTAAAATTTTTAAAGACTGCTGCCTTAAAAGGAAATGATGTTTCTTAAAATTTGCAAAGCCATGTTCGTACTATTTTGTGTAACCTCTATAGATACATAGAGAAACAACATTGAGGACCAAAATTTTTGTTGCATTTATACAAACACTTGATTTTGCTTATTTTGGGTGAGTAGATCATTTCAAAATTTATATCTTATGTTATAAAGCAAGTGAGTTATATCGAAAGAAAGAAGAGTTTACTAAAAAAATAAAAAAGCATTTTTTAGACATGAAAAATAATATATTTCTATAAATAATAACCCTTTTATATAAGAAAATTACATGAGCAAATATTTCAGCGTTTCACTCTAAAACTGGTAAATAATTATTCATTTTTTCCATTTGTCCCATACCAGATGTTTGAATGACATTTGCCAGGCCTTTTTATAATTAACATAATTAAGATTTATGACTGAGTCCATAAAGAAAACCCTGTCATGATATTATATACAGTATAATGGTATTTGGTTTCTTTCTTTTTCACAACATATGGACATTCTATACCATGTATTTTCATTGCTACAAGTTTGTCATAGATTAAGCTCATTGCAGCTCTTTGTCTGTAGTAGTAGTCAAAGTTTTGTAATAAAGTCTTAAAAATAAAAACGTTGCAATTCTCATTTTTGAAATTAAAAAACAATTTTTTTAAATCTATAATGATAAATTAGTTTGTACATTTTTAATTCCATAGTTGAAGTTGATTTGCAATAGTTTTTAATTTGTTATTTGTTAGAAAAATAATCAATTTCAGCTTTTTCTTTGCACAGTGGGCAAAGAAGGTTGAGTTTTGCTTCTAAACTTTCTACTGTGGAAAAAAAAAACTACCCGTGCGCTTTTCTATTTTACTTACTCCAACTATATCTCATGTGGTGAAGTGATCAAAAGAATTTGTTTTTTATTTTTTATTTTGGAATTCAGAATCTTTTTGAGGTTTTTAGTAAGAGCAAGGTATCGATGCAACCCAGCGAAAAAGTATGGTCAAACTACCAGAAAAGAATGGTCAGTACTACCACAATAAGAAAATATTTACCATTTTTCTAGCTCTAAGGGAATACTAAAAAGCTCGGTATTATTTAACGAAGCGCTTTGGTATAGATTTTAGTAAAATTGACAATAAAACATGGTTTTATAATAAGTGATAAAATTTGGCAAATGTGGTATAATTTGTTTATTTAATCACGAATTCTTAGAGCGTGGCGTAAGACCTAATTATTAAGTTACATTTAATTTTCAGTTTTGTATTAACTAAATATGTGATAATACGAAATATAATTCTGAAAACTAGAATTTCCGGTAAATTATTACCAAATAAAAGAAATAAATTACCAAATGAATGATTTAAATACCGTATATTTAAACCATTCATTTTCAGCCAGATTTATTAAAATCAGAATTATGCTTTTTTACCAAAAGTGCCATAACCATACAGTACGGTAATTTTAGAAGAATTTATTTAATTTACAACTCAGAACTCTCAATTGAAGATTGCGTTTAAATGCGCATAGTAATTTGATCAGTTTAAGGAGAAATATAAAATATTATTAATATCCTAAAATACTAATTATCTCAATATAAAATATTATTTAAAATTCTTTTCCTCCTATAATTAGCTTTTTCTGTAACAGAATCGCACTTTCAAATCATAGTAACACTCAAATAATACATAGAAGAAAATGTAAGTGAGCAAATAAATTTCAATTTCATCTTTAAGAAACAAAATTTTCCTTTGATTCATTTCCTTTGAAAATTTAAAAGTAAAATCACCTTTGCCCAATTTTACCTACACATGTTTTTTAAACAAATTCACTTTTGCATTATCATTACCATACAGCTAGAAGTAAGTCATTTTTAATAACATGCTTTATTTATAAATTTACACACGCATTCTTATTTCTATTCATTTCAAATAAAGACACTCTAAGCAATCTAAGTTTTATAAAAGCTTTTAAATTTTTTCCCCTTAAAATAAAAAGCTATTTTTAGAAAATGAAAGAGTTCATACGAAAAAGTCATTAGTTCGGAATATTTCTTTGTAGTTATTCTTAAGGAACAATCAGAATGGAAACAATAATATAAAAGTGATCTATTTTGAGCTTTTTAAAATCATGAACCAGCAGGGATGCTTCGAACCAGATGATAATCGAGTTGTCGACTTCTAATGCAATTTAATGCTTAAATAGAATTAACCGGAATATTTAAAGAAAGTAAAAATGGCGCAATTTAAAGGCAAAGTTTTTAAAGTAAATTTAGGTTACCGTCAAGAGGAAGTAATTTACACTGGATTTTGCAGTAATGGTAATGAAATTGCATTTTTGAAAGAAAATAGTTAATTGTCGCGATAATTCAATTAAATTAATCGCTAAATTCAAGAGAGAATGAATTGCAACTAGATGCTCGTAGGATGAGTAATTAAATTTCATGGTTAGGAAAAAAACATTTTTGAACTCAAATGTATTTTGAGATGTAGTACAGAAATAGGACATTTTAAAAGTATTATTGATAAACCATGATTATTTACTTCATATAAAATGATATATGTTGTGGAAATATTTATGTTAAAACTAGGGAGCTCTACTCCTTGCATAATACGCTCGCCATAATTGCGCTCGGCATGAGTAATTTACACTGGACTTTGCAGTAATAATAATGAAATTAAATTTTTTAAAAGAAAATAGTTAATAGCCACAATAATGCAATTAAATTAATAGTTAAATTCAAGAGAGAATGAATTGCAATTAGATACTCGTAGGACGAATAATTAAATTACATGGTCAGAAAAAAAACATCTTTGAACTCAAATGTATTTTGCGATGCGGTACAGAAATGGGACATTTTAAAAGTATGCTTGATAAGCCATGATTATTTATTTCATAAAACGATATATGATACGGAAATTTTTGTGTTACAAATTAGGAAGCCTTATACGCTCGCTTTCATCCTCGCAATTACTGATATTTATTGACGATAACAGATTACATTAAAATTAATAAAATTATCAATTGAAATACCCCACTTTTTATAATTTTTTATTTTATTTCTTAGAGATTAGGTTCCACACATAAAGTTTCCAATACGATGGGGATGAAATTTAAATCCTATTATTGCCACTACAGCTTTTGTTAATTTTTTTTAAAAAATTCTTATTGAAATTTTAGTTGCTGCAAGAACTCGTTAAATAATTCTAGGCAAAATGCTTTTTTTAGTAATAGTGCGAAAATGTAATTTTTAATATTAATTTAGAATTTTAAATATTTATTTTTCATTTATTATTCTAATTGCATGCATTAGCAGAACACAGTGTTGCGTAAACTTTTGTATAAAAGTAAGTATTATTAGTTAAAAAAGAAATCTAACCCAGTTACCATTAAATTTTTTTATCATTAAATCTTGAATAATAACGGTTTTAAATCTTAAATTTAGATAAAATTAAAAAGCGTTCTAATAAAGGAGAATAGTATTAAGAAATGATGATAAATAAATATTTCGAATAAATACGGTTAAATAAGTGATAAGTAAATAATTCACAGGTAAATACTTTTACTAGAAAAACTAAGGCGTCTATCTTTTTATGATTCATAGAGATACAATATTAAATAATAAATAAGAGAAAATGCATAATTGTCGTTCTAACAAAATTTAAAAATTTGAAAGAATGCTTATTCTTTTAAAATGCTTGTAGTTTTTATCTTTTATTTATTTTTTCTACATTTTGTATATTGGAAGATACAACAAGAGAATTCAAAACTATCTTTTTAAGCACAAATAGTGTATAAGAGTAATTCAAAAATAAAGTATTAATCCTTGTAAAATCTCTGACTATGAAACATGCAGATGTTAGTTAACAATTAACATTAAAGTATTAAGATAATTAAGTAAGTTGATAATAAAACTATAAATAATGAATTATTATTATAAAACGTTGAAAAATCCAAGAAGAAAATAATTCAGGTAAAAATAGAGCACTGCATGGTAAGGACATTTCTGGTTAAAAGAAAACTTTAATTTTTATAATAACTATCAAAATATAAGGTATTAAAATCACTCATTTGGTAATATTTCCGTTCACATAATAACGATTTACCGAGAATTTTGGTTTCCAAAATATTATTTTTTATTACCACACATTTAGTAAAAAATACAAAAATGGAAAGTAAATTTACTGAATAAAGGGTTTTTATGTCATGTATCAAGATAAAAAACCAAATTTTACTACATTTACCAAATTTTATCACATTATAAAACCATATCTTGTAGTTTTATTTACCAAACTAATTACCAAAATGATTAGTTAAAAATGATCGACCATTCTGGTGTTCCCATAGAGCGAGA